ATATATATATATATATATATATATATATATATATATAAATTAACTGATTTAAAATATGTTTGTTTTTTTCGTTACACAGTTCTAACCATGTTTCAAAAATGGAAGCTGAAAGCTCCGAATTTAATTTTGTGATTAAATTAAAGACATTAGTTCCATTTCATCTCCAAGCGATTATAATATTAATGCTCTGTAAATTTACATTGTGCACTATTTTGTAAAAATAAAAATATCTATAAGAACATCGGATTATATATCTTACTGTTCTTTCTTTTTATTTATATATACATACATACATACATACATATATATATATATATATATATATATATATATATATATATATATATATATATAACTGATACATCAAAATACAGACATAATGAACACGCAAACACCCCTTGTCTGGTTGAATTGGATTTCTCTGCATCCTTGGAAACGTGAATTATGATTTTTGCTGTGTCTTTAAAACCCAGTAATTTTAAAAGTTACTCCAAAATTCGCTTGAGGATGAAATGGAAATAATGTCTTTAATTTAATTACAAAATTAAATTCGGAGCTTTCATCTTCCATTTTTGAAACACGGTTAGAACCGTGTAGCGAAAAAAAACATATTTTAAATCAATCAATATATATATATATATATATATATATATATATATATATATATATGTATATGCGTGTGTGTGTTTTGCATATAGCGGGTGTAAAAACAAAATTGCCCAAATCGTGTTACAGCATAATTGTTCATCTCACAAAATGTTTAATTTCTAATTGAGTTTCTTTTTTTTACCATGTTTTCAGATAAGACGTGTAGCCATCCTGATACCATTTGCCATAAGGATCACTGAAAAACCCGTTGCGCTATTCAGCTAGAAAAAGAATATGTTAAAATGGTTTTGTGTCAGCCCAACTGTCTTTTCTACTGAGCAATGGTGGGAGGAAAAAGATCATTCAGGCCTTCAGTAATGGTACCAACATTGGCTGTCATCTTCAATGTCCATTCAAGAACCATCAAGAGAACGGTGAATAAATTTTAAAAAAGAGGGAACAATAGAGATTAAAACTGGATCAGAAGGTCACAACAGGAAGAGTGTTCCTCATTTGAACTTAGACCTAAAGAGTTCAATAAGAAAAGATCCAACTCAGTTCATAAGACGTTTGGCAAGTGAGAAAGGAGTTTCATCTATGACAGTCCAAAGAGCAGTGAAAAAAAAAACTTGAAAATGAAATCGTACGTGGAACCTCTGAGGCTCCTTGTTATTCCAGGACAGAAGGTTAGAAGGCTAAAGAGGGCGAAGATCATCTTGAATAGTTTGGAAAATGGTGCTTGAATAATATATATTTGAATTTCATTTCAATTCTTTATGAGCTTCCTATCCTTGTCTATGATTACTTAATGATGACCATATCATCTTCGTTTATGATCGATTTCATCACGATACTTCTGTTAAGCTTGTAAAGTAATTATACATTCTTATTGCTCAACGTAGAGTTCAATAGTGTTCTAAAAACCTCGGAGAACTCCTGTAAAATACAACGGTTCAATGCTTAATCTAACAAGTGAACAATTTTGCTGTTATATGATTTGGGCAATTTTGCTGTTTAACCCGACATATTTATGTGTATCTCTATACACGAGAATTCGCATTTGGATACAAGTATATATGTATGCAGATTCCTACGTGTTTTTCTAAGTAAAGCTTAAATATATATCTATATATTATGCACGTTATAATTACCCAAAACGGAAACTATGATCTGGAATTGTAATAAATGCAGTGATGGCACATAACCTGGATTCATCATAAAAACAAATCAGCACGTGGAATTAGTAAATACTAAACACTTCAAATATCTCGGTGTATGGATCAGTTCTAACAAATTTAGTATAAGATAAATGGAAATTGAACATAGAATAGTCCGCGCTGCAAATTGCTAAGAAACTAAAAAAAATTCAACCTGGAAACTCTAATCATGTTCTTAAATATCCTCGACAGATCGAGATTTTCATATGGATATTATGCATGGCGTCAAACCAGTTCAGAAATATCTAAACTGTCAGTTGCATATAGCCGTTTTCTCAGATCAAGGAGACATGTGGCATAACACGATTTCTGTTATTTATATAATTATCTATTTGTAAGTGTAAGCATATTCAAGTCAATAATAATAAAAACAGGTCCCTTACCGATAAATGAATGTTATCTACAAAATATCTGGTGTTGTCGTTTTTTATTTTGTCATCGGCGTATTTTAGCATCGTTTTCCGATACGATTCCTCAGGGAAGATTTTGAAAGTGCTTCTTACGCCCGGCAGCGTCGTGTACAAAACGATTAAAATCATCAGAATTATTTCCGAGACGATCAAAAGTAGAACTACATTTTTATACTGAAAATACATATTTTAGAAAGCAGAGTTAAAGAATAGGCAAGTTAAGTCGTAAGACTTGTATCAATAAATCATTATTATCTAAAAAAAAATCTAAAAATATTTTCTGGCTTTAAATAACCGGCAAAAGGTTGATAAACCGTAATAAACGAATCAAACAAAAGAAATATTTGGGTTTTGTACTAACTTTTATTTTTTTAACATATTGACAACCGACCACGATTTATTTACAATATTTTTCATTATTCAGACTACAGTCCTCATAGTTAATGACATATTCCCCCAGGGATATATAGCTCAGTGGATAAAACCGTTGGCTGAAATAATCCAAGTGTTGTGAGTTCAATACCTGGCTACAGCAGAGGTGAATAAAAACTTGAAGAGTTGAGTTACTAAAATTGAAACAACTGAAAGTGAGATATCCTGAAAATGCATGGCATGGCATGTGGAACTAGAATAATCTACTCCAGTGGACTAAATAAAGGTTTCGCTGAGAAATTCCAACGTATATCGCCTGACGAAGACCGGGGCGTGAAATGGCCGAAACGTGGCGAATGTGACAATAAAGATGTTGACAACAGTCTGAACAATGTAAATAGTTACAATACCACTTCTCAAAAATATATATATATATATATATATATATATATATATATATATATATATATATATATATATATATATATATAGCTTGGCAGTTTTATTATGACGCCGACTATAAGTTATCTCGTGCTAACAGTAGTCTATTCGTAGTGATATTTTTAGAGTGAAAAAAGCTTCAGTTGAAGCTATAAATCAACTTATATTTTTTTATTTCCTAAGTTGGCTATTTCGGCTAAGTTGACGTTTGAAGTCTGATTTCGTAACTGAACTCTGCAAGTCAACGTGTGAATTTATAGTAACTACGACTGCGCCACTCTTTCGTATCAAATACAAGGGCCGACACAATTATATTATTTCCCTTGTATGGTATTTATTTGATCCCTAACGTTTAGTAATTTTTTTTTTTTTTAATTTTGACCGCGGCTCGATTATTTTTTTCCGGGAATCAAAAATTCTCCGGTCATTTCGCAAGTTGAAAAATTCCCACCGGCATGACTATACAAGACAGGCGGCAGCTTTATATTCTGCAAAAGACTAATATTTAATTCAACTAGATTAAGAACATTGAACGGTGAATACCGTTCGGAAAAATAAAGAATACAGTACTGTACGCAGTTGCGTTATCAAATACAGCTATAGGTGCGATTAAATTATTTCTCTCAATTCTTTCCCCTGCTTTCAGACATGGTACGACACGCTTATTGGGTTTCAAATGACTTTTTCCGCGATACGTGTATTTCGTTGCAAAAATAGAACAATTCCCGCTCACTTTATAGCGATTTACTAAGCGTAGTTTAAAAACATCATTAGGCTGACAGTATGGAGCATCCGGTGAGGAACGAACTCACTACCCAATCGTCAGTATTGCACCATGCCGAAACGCACAAAATAATTTTAATATAGGAATGCATTGCTAATGAGTTTTACTATAGGAAGTGGGCTGGAAATAATTTTCTTTATTGGAAATTCAATGTAAATGAATGACTTAGAAAACATTTTTAATATATGAAAAGATCTATGACAGTGGACTTGAAAAAGTTAATGTCCTGAAAAAAGTATTTTAAGAAAAAAAATTGTTTTAAATTTCAACTGACAGTAATTGATCGAGCAAGACAAGCTTGCTAACCACTGCACCACGTCAAGGCACCCTCCCCGCTTACTTTATAAGTTGGAAAGTTTCCTCCGCCACAACAACTCTAGACAGAACTTTTATTTGGTACAAAAGGGTCGTATAGTGAATTTCCAGGCATTGCTTAGATGTGGCACAAGGTCGAAAGTAGAAGGCACCCAGTGAGGATCGAACTCACTACTCAGTCGTAATAGATTTAGCAAGACAAGCTTGCTAACCATTACACCGCCTCGAGGTACCCAATAGTCATTTTCTAAGCGTAGCTTAGATGTGGAACAAGGACGAAAAGTATGGGGCACCTAGTGAGGATCGAACTCACTTTTCAGTCATAAACGATCAAGCTTGCTAACCATTACACCACGGTGAGATGTCCTTAAAAAAGAGTCGTATATCAATTTAAATATTCTCGCAATCTGTGTGTGTGTGTGCGTGTGCGTGCGTGTGTGTGCGCGTGAGTGTCTGTGTATGCGTATGTGCACGTTTAGGTATACGTAAGTTTTAGTATGAATGTCTGTGTGTGCAATCGCGTCTGCGTATGTGTGTGTGTGTGTGTGCGCGCGTATATACGTATGTATGTGTGTACGTGTGTCTTTGGAACGGTGACAGAGATACACTATAAGAAAGATCCATTTTTACACAGTTCTCTGTTGGGTAGAGATTTATGAAGGTTGGACGTATTTGCTAAAGGCTGAAGATGTCAGTGAAGAGAAAGGAAGCTTCATCATGACATTAGCTCGCGAAAACCTTCCGTTTTATGTGTTTGAGGCTGAGTTATTTTCAGTATTTTCACTTCTTTTAATCCCTGGGAGAATTAAAAAAAAAAAAAAACGAAAAAAAAAAAAAACGACGATTACAAGGAAAGCAAAAAGTGTTACCACTTTGTACGTTCGCAAATTATTTTGCCATTTAGATTCGTAAGCGTTTTATGTACACGAGATCGAGGAAGCGAGAGATAGAAAAGAGAAAGAAAGTGAGAGGAGAGGAGAAACAGAGAGAGAGGACAAGATAGAGAGAGAGAGAAAGAGAAAGATATTTAAAAAGAAAAAGGAAAAAGAGGGAAAATAGAGTCCGTTACTACAGAGGTTTGCTTAACAGTACATTGGGTATGTAAGAGGCAGCAAGATAGACAACATTACAGAGAGACAGAAAGTTTCTCACTATTGAATTCGGTTACCCATCTTTTAAATATTTGAATCTCTATACACGTATGTCACCTCTCCACCAGAGAGAGAGAGAGAGAGAGAGAGAGAGAGAGAGAGATGATGATGATGATGATGATGATGATATAAAAAAGGTGAAAAAGATAGAGAGAAAGAGAAAGAGATGATAGAAATAATGTGTGTATGAGAGAGAGAGAAAGAGAGAAGATGATATAAAAGTAGTGAGAGAGAGAGACAAAAAGAGAGAAGATAATATACAACAGATGTGAAACAGAAAGATAGAGAGATAATGATATAAGTAATGCGTGGGAGAGAGAGAGAGAAAGAGAGAAGATAATAAAAAAGTCAGAAAGAGAGAGGAGGAGAGAGAAAGACTGAAGATAATATAAAATAGTTGTGTGGGAAAGAGAGAGAAAGTGATATAAAAAATGTATGGGAAGAGAGAGAGAGAGAGAGAGTTGATATAAAAATTTGTCTGTGAGAAAGAGAGAGAGAGAGGGGGGGAGAACGAAAGAATATGATGTAAAGAATGTGCTTATGAGAGAAAGAGAGAGAACGTCATATAAACTATGTGTGAGGGAGAGAGTGATAAACAGAAATGATTATATAAAGAACATGTGTGTGTGAGAGAGTGAGAGAGAGAGAGATGATGATATAAAGAATGTGTATGAGAGAGAGAGAAAGAAAGATGATGATATACAAGTGTATATGTGTGAGAAAAATAGAGAGGGAGAGAAAGAAAGATGATATAATGTGTGTATGAGAGAGAGGGGGAGAAAGAGAGAAAATGATATAAAGAATGTTCGAGAGAGAGAGAGAAAAGATGATATAAAGAATGTTCGAGAGAGAGAGAGAGAGAAAAGATGATATAAAGAATGTTCGAGAGAGAGAGAGAGAGAGAAAAGATGATAAAGAATGTTCGAGAGAGAGAGGAGAGAAAGAGAGAAAAATGATATAAAGAATGTTCAAGAGAGAGAGAGAGAGAGAAAAGATGATATAAAGAATGTTCGAGAGAGAGAGAGAGAGAGAAAAGATGATATAAAGAATGTTCGAGAGAGAGAGAGAGAGAAAGAGAGAAAATGATATAAAGAATGTTCGAGAGAGAGAGAGAGAGAGAGAAAAGATGATATAAAGAATGTTCGAGAGAGAGAGAGAAAAGATGATATAAAGATGTTGAGAGAGAGAGAGAGAGAGAGAAAAGATGATATAAAGAATGTTCGAGAGAAAGAGAAAGGGAAAAGATGATATAAAGAATGTTTGAGAGAGAGAGAAAGGGAAGATTATATAAAGAGTGTATGAGAGAGAGAGGAAAGAGAAAAGATGATATAAAGAATGTTCGAGAGAGAGGGAAAGAGGGAAGATGATATAAAGAGTGTATGAGAGAGAGAGAGAGAGAGAGAAAGAGAAAGAGAAAAAATGATATAAAGAATGTTCGAGAGAGAGAGAGAGAGAAAATGATATAAAGAATGTTCGAGAGAGAGAGAGAGAGAGAGAGAAAAGATGATATAAAGAATGTTCGAGAGAGAGAGAGAGAGAGAAAAGATGATATAAAGAATGTTCGAGAGAGAGAGAGAGAGAAGAAATGATTTAAAAGAATGTTCGAGAGAGAGAGAGAGAGAAAAGATGATATAAAGAATGTTCTGTTCGAGAGAGAGAAAGATGATATAAAGAATGTTCTGAGAGAGAGAGAGAGAGAGAAAATGATATAAAGAATGTTCGAGAGAGAGAGAGAAAAAATGATGATATAAAGAATGTTCGAGAGAGAGAGAGAGAGAGAGAAAATGATATAAAGAATGTTCGAGAGAGAGAGAGAGAGAAAAGATGATATAAAGAATGTTCGAGAGAGAGAGAGAGAGAGAAAAATGATATAAAGAATGTTCGAGAGAGAGAGAGAGAGAGAGAAAAGATGATATAAAGAATGTTCGAGAGAGAGAGAGAAAGAGAAAAGATGATATAAAGAATGTTCAAGAGAGAGAGAGAAAGAGGGAAGATGATATAAAGAGTGTGTGAGATAGAGAGAGAGAAAGAGTAAAAATGATAAAAAAGAATGTGTGTGAGAAAGAGAGGGAAGATGATATAAAATGTTTGTTTGCATGAGAGAGAGGGAGGAAGAGAGATGACATAAAGAACGTGTCTGAGAGAGAGAAAGAGAGAGAGAGAAAGAAAGAAAGAGAAGTTATGATATAAACAATGTGTTTGAGAAGGAGAGACGATGACATAAAACATGTGTGACGGAGAGAAAGAGAGATGATATAAAAATATATGTGCATGAGAGAGGCAGAGAGAGATAGAGAGAGATGGCGATACGATTTACATTATTCAGACTATTGTCCTCATCTTTGTCGCCATATTTATTACAATGTTTCGGCCGTTGTATGGTCCGGCCTTCTTCAGTTGGTTAGAATGTCGAACTGAACCCTTTATTTCGCTCACAGGGGTAGACTGTTCTAGTTCCACGTGCTATGTTTAACGGATGTAAGTTATCACTGATAATACTCCGAATAATGCAAATAGTCTATATAATACCTCATCTCAGAAATATAGACAGATACTGAAGGGGGATAAATATGGCGGCAAAGATGAGGATAATAGTCCGAATAATGTAAATAGTGTACATGATACCTCATCTCAGAAATATAGACAGATACTGAAGAGGCATAAATATAGCGACAAAGATGAGGATAATAGTCCGAATAATGTAAATAGTCTACATAATACCTCATCTCAGAAATATAGACAGATACTGAAGAGGGATAAATATGGCGGCAAAGATGAGGATAATAGTCCGAATAATGTAAATAGTGTACATGATACCTCATCTCAGAAATATAGACAGATACTGAAGAGGCATAAATATAGCGACAAAGATGAGGATAATAGTCCGAATAATGTAAATAGTGTACATGAGAGCTCATCTCAGAAATATAGACAGACACTGAAGAGGGATAAATATGGCGGCAAAGATGAGGATAATAGTCCGAATAATGTAAATAGTGTACATGATACCTCATGTCAGAAATATAGACAGATACTGAAGAGGCATAAATATGGCGGCAAATATGAGGATAATAGTCCGAATAATGTAAATAGTGTACATGATACCTCATCTCAGAAATATAGACAGATACTGAAGAGGCATAAATATAGCGACAAAGATGAGGATAATAGTCCGAATAATGTAAATAGTGTACATAATACCTCATCTCAGAAATATAGACAGATACTGAAGGGGATAAATATGGCGGCAAAAGATGAGGATAATAGTCCGAATAATGTAAATAGTGTACATGATACCTCATCTCAGAAATATAGACAGATACTGAAGGGGGAAATATGGCGGCAAATATGAGGATAATAGTCCGAATAATGTAAATAGGTACATGATACCTCATCTCAGAAATATAGACAGATACTGAAGAGGCATAAATATAGCGACAAAGATGAGGATAATAGTCCGAATAATGTAAATAGTGTACATAATACCTCATCTCAGAAATATAGACAGATACTGAAGGGGGATAAATATGGCGGCAAAGATGAGGATAATAGTCCGAATAATGTAAATAGTGTACATGATACCTCATCTCAGAAATATAGACAGATACTGAAGGGGGATAAATATGGCGGCAAAAGATGAGGAAAATAGTCCGAATAATGTAAATAGTGTACATGAGACCTCATCTCAGAAATATAGACAGATAGTGAAGAGGATAAATATGGCGGCAAAGATGAGGATAATAGTCCGAATAATGTAAATAGTGTACATGATACCTCATCTCAGAAATATAGACAGATACTGAAGGGGGATAAATATGGCGGCAAATATGAGGATAATAGTCCGAATAATGTAAATAGTGTACATGAGACCTCATCTCAGAAATATAGACAGATAGTGAAGAGGGATAAATATGGCGGCAAAAGATGAGGATAATAGTCTGAATAATGTAAATAGTGTGCATGATACCTCATCTCAGAAATATAGACAGATACTGAAGGATAAATATGGCGGCAAAGATGAGGATAATAGTCCGAATAATGTAAATAGTGTACATGATACCTCATCTCAGAAATATAGACAGATAGTGAAGAGGGATAAATATGGCGGCAAAGATGAGGATAATAGTCTGAATAATGTAAATAGTGTGCATGATACCTCATCTCAGAAATATAGACAGATACTGAAGGGGTATAAATATGGCGGCAAAGATGAGGATAATAGTCCGAATAATGTAAATAGTGTACATGATACCTCATCTCAGAAATATAGACAGATACTGAAGAGGCATAAATATAGCGACAAAGATGAGGATAATAGTCCGAATAATGTAAATAGTGTACATAATACCTCATCTCAGAAATATAGACAGATACTGAAGGGGGATAAATATGGCGGCAAAGATGAGGATAATAGTCCGAATAATGTAAATAGTGTACATGATACCTCATCTCAGAAATATAGACAGATACTGAAGAGGCATAAATATAAAGCGACAAAGATGAGGATAATAGTCCGAATAATGTAAATAGTGTACATAATACCTCATCTCAGAAATATAGACAGATAGATGAAGAAGGGGGGATAAATATGGCGGCAAAGATGAGGATAATAGTCCGAATAATGTAAATAGTGTACATGATACCTCATCTCAGAAATATAGACAGATACTGAAGGGGGATAAATATGGCGGCAAAGATGAGGAAAATAGTCCGAATAATGTAAATAGTGTACATGAGACCTCATCTCAGAAATATAGACAGATAGTGAAGAGGGATAAATATGGCGGCAAAGATGAGGATAATAGTCTGAATAATGTAAATAGTGTACATGATACCTCATCTCAGAAATATAGACAGATACTGAAGGGGATAAAGAGGTATAATAGTCCGAATATGTAAATAGCGGACAAAGATGAGGATAAATAGTCGGCAAAAGATGAATAATGTCTGAAATGTAAATGTGCATGATACCTCATCTCAGAAATATAGACAGATACTGAAGGGGATAAATATGGCGGCAAAGATGAGGATAATAGTCCGAATAATGTAAATAGTGTACATGAGACCTCATCTCAGAAATATAGACAGATAGTGAAGAGGGATAAATATGGCGGCAAAGATGAGGATAATAGTCTGAATAATGTAAATAGTGTGCATGATACCTCATCTCAGAAATATAGACAGATACTGAAGGGGGATAAATATGGCGGCAAAGATGAGGATAATAGTCCGAATAATGTAAATAGTGTACATGATACCTCATCTCAGAAATATAGACAGATAGTGAAGAGGGATAAATATGGCGGCAAAGATGAGGATAATAGTCTGAATAATGTAAATAGTGTGCATGATACCTCATCTCAGAAATATAGACAGATACTGAAGAGGTATAAATATGGCGGCAAAGATGAGGATAATAGTCCGAATAATGTAAATAGTGTACATGATACCTCATCTCAGAAATATAGACAGATACTGAAGAGGCATAAATATAGCGACAAAGATGAGGATAATAGTCCGAATAATGTAAATAGTGTACATGAGAGCTCATCTCAGAAATATAGACAGATACTGAAGAGGCATAAATATGGCGACAAAGATGAGGATAATAGTCCGAATAATGTAAATAGTGTACATGATACCTCATCTCAGAAATATAGACAGATACTAAAGGGGGATAAATATGGCGGCAAAGATGAGGATAATAGTCCGAATAATGTAAATAGTGTACATGATACCTCATCTCAGAAATATAGACAGATACTGAAGGGGGATAAATATGGCGGCAAAGATGAGGATAATAGTCTGAATAATGTAAATAGTGTGCATGATACCTCATCTCAGAAATATAGACAGATACTGAAGAGGTATAAATATGGCGGCAAAGATGAGGATAATAGTCCGAATAATGTAAATAGTGTACATGATACCTCATCTCAGAAATATAGACAGATACTGAAGAGGCATAAATATAGCGACAAAGATGAGGATAATAGTCCGAATAATGTAAATAGTGTACATGAGAGCTCATCTCAGAAATATAGACAGATACTGAAGAGGCATAAATATGGCGACAAAGATGAGGATAATAGTCCGAATAATGTAAATAGTGTACATGATACCTCATCTCAGAAATATAGACAGATACTGAAGGGGGATAAATATGGCGGCAATGATGAGGATAATAGTCCGAATAATGTAAATAGTTTACATGATACCTCATCTCAGAAATATAGACAGATACAGAGATGACGATGATATAAATAATATGAGGGAGAGAGACAGAAAAGCAGAGAAAATGACATAAAAAATTTGTATGAGAGAAAGAAAGAGAGATGTCACGTCGGTTTAGAAACTGTATTGACTAAAATCAGGAACTCCTTGGCAGAAGGATTCAAAAAGTTACTTAACCAATTATGCACATTTTACTTACAACCTGCTAAATATTACGGAACGACAATTTGCGGTGATTTTCAAGCATCCCACACGATGATAAGTGTTAAATATATTTCCGTTTTTTCATGGAATTAAAATTGCTTAAATATTTTAAACAATCATTTGTAAAAGCCTTATTGTGAATTCTAGAATAACAGGTAAATATCAACAAAGTCATATTTGTACTGAGATGGATAGGCAAGGTGATTGGCCCTGATCTGGCATCTCGTCTTCAGTCGCTCTCCCACAGACATGTCGTCGCCTCCCTCTGTCTTTTCTACAAATACTTTCATGGTAACTACTCCGACGAGTACTCGCGCTAGTTCCCAGACTGCATGAATTTAAAAGTGCAACTAGTCTGGTATCCCGGTCTCACCCTTTCACTGTCGAAACAGTTAAATGTGGCCGCCTCTTCTACTCCACCTGCTTCATGTCTCGCACTTCCCGTCTGTGGAATTCCCTTCCTGTTACTTGTTTTCCTGATAGCTATAATCTCTAAATATTCAAATTCTCCAGATGCCTTGATCTATTCCCTGTCTTTCTCTTCATCCTTTCCTCTATCACACCTCGTTAATCTTGCTCCCACTCTTTTTAACCCTTTAGGTGCTAGTGGCATCCCGCCTTGCTTGGGGTGAAATGCTTAAAAAATATTCTCCTTATCTTTGTTGTTATTATCACTACCTTTAGTTGTGACGTCCGGCCTTTCTCAGGTGTATATTGATGATCTGGGTCACCTAATTTTGAACTGGACTCTATATTTAATTTATTGGGGATAGACTGACTCTTT